AAACTGGGGCCTTCTGGAGTCCCAAGCCAGCTCTTAACCAATGCGCCACTCGGCCGGCCCCCCCCAAAAAAAGATTTTTAATAGATTTTTTTTTGAGAGCAGTTTTAGGTTCACAGGAAAATTGAGCAGAAATTTCCATATAGCCCCTCCCCGAACTCATGCATAGCCACCTCCATTATCAACATCCCTACCAGAGGGGTACATTTATTTGTTAGAAGTGATGAACCTACACTGACACATCATAATCACCCACAGTCCATAGTTTACACTATAGTTCACTCTTTTTTCTACGAATGTCCATTTTCTCTTCCAAAATCCAAGCCAGGATCCTTTTTTTAACACTTAAGTTATCCTGTTCCCTTGGTTTCCTCCAAAATGACAATTTCTCATACCTTTCTTGTCTTTCATGACCTGGACACTTTGAAGAGTAATGGTCAGTTATTTTGTAGAATGTCCCTTAATTTTGGTTTGTCTGATGTTTTCCCATGATTAAATTGAGGTTATATGTTTTTGGAAAAAACACTGCAGAAGTGGTGTAGTGCCTTTCTCAGTGTGTCATATCAGGGGTACATGATGTTGATATGGCTTGTTGACCTTGATCACTTGGTTAACGTAGTGTCTGTTGGGTTTTTCTGCCAGGTTTCCGCTGTAGGGTTACTTATTTTCCCTTTTGTAATTATTTTGGTGAAGATTCTTTGAGACTATAGTGTTTCTCCTCAGACTCTTACCCACTGATTTTAGCATCGTTTGGTGAATCTTGCCTGTTACAGTTACTCCTATGTGTTTGCATACTGGTGACTTTCTATTTTCCTCATTCATTTTACATTTATTTCTTGGAATTCTTCTGTAAAGAAAAGCTATCTTCCATATTTATTTATTCAACTATTTTTGCCACTATGGATTAATAGATATTATATTTTATGGAGTATAACCTAATATTACCATTATATATTTTGTGGCTTAAATAGTTTCTTTCGCTCATATTTTAATTAATTATCATTTGATTAGAATAATATAAAATGATCTCTCATGGAATTTATTTCAGGGATATTGCTAATATCTGGAGGTTTGTGTGGAAAATCCAGTTTCAGATTAAGCGAATTGAAATAATGGATACTAATTAACCCATTTATTAAAATGAGTTTTCGCTTTTCTGCAGCATATTCTGCAGCATGTACATTTCCATCGCAAGAATCAGTTCATTCTTTTAATGAATAAATCACAATTTTCAGAAAGCTCCTATTATGCTACATCATGTTATTTGAAGAACATGTCAGTTTGTAATCAAATATTTATTCAATACTTGGCATTGGGCCAGTACTAGAAGTGATGGGGGAAAAAAACAAAACAAAACAAAACAAACAAAAAATGACAGAGGCTGAGAGTGTATAAAGAACTTGGCGTTCAGCTGAGGAGCAAAAATGAATACACAAGAAACAATGTGGGAGCAAATAAGTACTGTGCTATGTGGTACTTACTGTCTGTAAGTGCAACAGGAATTAAAGAATATCTGAAAAGGCTTCAGAGAAAAGATGGGGCTTGAAATGATCTTACTTGGTCAAAATTTAGATGCATGGAGGGAGAGACAGAGGGTATTTGTGTGGCCAGGGAAAGCTGGACAAGATCCATCCAACTAGGAATCAGATTAGTCCTTACTGCACACTGGAGTATTTCCTGACACAGATCAAAATATTGTGTTAATAAGATGTCGAAAAGATAAGTTCTTAAGTTTTGAAATTTAATTTCTAAAATTAATATGTGTTCAATAAGGAAATACGTAGTATGAAGAGAGCACAAAGAAAAACGTTAATCTAAATGCTTAATATTTGGGACTATGACATATGCATGCCAATTGTGTGTGCATATACATATGCTATATCTATGTATTACGTAAATAAGTGCATGCATATGTATATATATATATATATATTTATGTGTGTATTTTTATATGTGCTTGGAGTCAGATTGCCTGAGTTCAAATCCTGCCTCTGCCACTTACTAGCTGTGTGACCTTTGGAAAATTATTTAACTTTTCTATGTTTTGTTTCCTAATTTGCAAAACTGGAATAATATTACTACCCACCCCATAGAGTTGTTGTGAGAATTGAATGAGACTCTGTATGTAAAGTGTTTAGAATAGTGCCTGGCACATAGTAAGCCTCAATAAATCTTAGCTATTATTATTATTATTGTTATTATATACCACGGGTGCCAAAAATGTATACACATTTTAAGAGAAGTTATCTTAAAATATGTATACATTTTTTGGGCACCCTCTGTATGTATGTGTGCACACATATACATATATATGTTACATAATCCCCTTTGAAGTAAAACATGGATTTATACTGCACAAAATGCTTTGTAGCTTACCTTTTCTTGTAGAAACACATTATACAAAATTTCTCATATTATTAAAAGTCTTGTACTACAAGATGATTTTTTAAAGACTGCAAAATTTCCCAGCCTCTGGTTATATTACAGTTAACTTTAGCAAATGTCCTATTACTGGACACATAGATTTTTGTTTAAAATTTATATAGCATTTTATTTACTGAACCTTCTTGTAACTAAATCCTTTTCTCATCTCTGATTATTTCTGTAGACAAATTCCTAGAATTGGAATTGTTGAATTAAAGAGTATGAAAAAAGAAATATATATCCTAATTGCTTTCCAGAAAATTTCCACCTATAAACATCCTCACCAGGAGAACATGACAATGTTCAGTTGTTTGTACCCTCAATAACACTGGTTGTTATCATTCCTTGGATGTTTTGACTTAATTGATTGCAAGTAAAGTTGAACATTTTCGTTTGTTTACTGATGGACACGATACACAGTTTTCCAGACAGTTGAACATTGTATCAGGAAAGCAGGATTCAGTGGACCTTGACATGGAGAGCCTCATCTGCCCATGGACTGCACTTGGCACTGGGCACATGGAGTGTGAATGCCATGAGATAAACAGAGGGTGTCCAAGACAAACTAAGCCACTTTACCAGTTAGTTTACCCAGAGCCAGCCCTATATAGGAGATTTGTGATAAACTTTGTGACAGTGAAACTATGAAAAGTAGTGAAAGACAGATATGGACTATTCTTTTTTTTTTTTTTTAAGATTTTACTGGGGAATTGGGGAAGGGGAACAGTGTTGGGGAATTGGGGAAAGGGAACAGCCAAGTTGTTGTCCTTCAATCTTAGTTGTGGAGGGCTTAGCTAGCTCAGCTCTAAGTCCAGTCGCCATCCAGCCACCCATCGGCAGCTCATGGCCACTCAGCTCAAGGTGCCATGTTCAATCTTAGTTGCGGGTGTGCGTAGCCCACCATCCCATGGGGGAGTCGAACCTGGCAACCTTGTTAGGAGAACGTGCTCTCAACAGCTGAGCCATCCTGTCACCTGTTGCTAGCTCAGCAGCAGCTCAGCTCTGGTGCAGCTCACTGGCCCATGTGGGAATCGAACCAGCGCCCCTGTTGCTCAGAGCTCGAACTCTTAACCAACTGAGCCACTCGGCTGGCCCCAAGATGGACTATTCTTAATTTTTAAAATATGAAACTGACAAAATACAGAAAATATAAAGAAGAAACTAACAGTTACATACATTAGCCCTACTGAGAATTAACCATTTTGACACATTTACTTCCATGGGCTAATACAGAATGTTTTCTAATGGGATAGGAATTAAAAAGTAAAACAGCAACAATAAGAATCCAAAATTCCTACCTTTGATAGAAAGGCATAAAAATCCCCTAAGATATGTATATATTGGGTTGTCAGAAAAGTCATGATGCATTTTTGCAACGAAAAACAGAAAAAACACGTCATTACTTTTCCGACAACCCAATAAATATGTAAAAAATGTCTTGAAGGATGTAACCTCTTATCTTGGGGGAAAAGGGGTAAAGGGGCTTTTATTTTTTATTCTGTATTGATAAAATGTTTTCAAAGAGATTGTGAGCATTCATAAATTAGTTGTTAATTCAAACTGCTTACTACTAGTATCTTTAGAATATTTAATATTTTGAAATTGAAAAACAAGTTATTCTTAATTTTCTTTGTTATGTAGCAGGCTATGGTGACGGATGGTTAAAGGGAGCACCCAGGAAGAGGAAACACAGCTGATTAGTGTTTAACAGGAAGTCTGTCTCTTCCGATTATCCCAGGGGGTTCTCAGTAGTTGCTTAACAAGGAAAAGAATAATTATTAGCGATACACATGGATGTCTAACACAGCCTGACTTTGATTATAAAAGTGAAGAATTTTTTTGTGAGAATTGATTAAGGATGACGTGGAGCTGATAAAAATATGTTTCTCCTCCCATGAATCTTATGACAGTATTGAGCTGAGCTGCTTGAGAATTTATTTCTCAAACAAGTGGTAATTTGCTTTCATTAATTAGTAGATTCCCGAAGCCTGAAGCATTTGGCCATATATGCATAAAACAGTGGGAAAGGTGAAGTCCAACTGCTTAGTTAACAAAAAACTTAGCATTTTTAGTAACTAGCTAAATGACTTCTGACAAGTTACTTAACCACTGACATTTAAGAATAGCTATTATTATTGAGTTCTTACTATAATCAGGCCTTGTGTTAAGTGCTCTACTAACATTCACGTAATGTGAATATGAAGAAACCTAGGCACTTAGAAATTATATAACTTGCCTAAAGTCTCAGGGCAGAACTGGGATTTAAAATGAAGCAATCAGATTCTAGAGCCACATAATCACTGTTGTCTTCTGCTACTGTCATTGCAATTATGATTTATAAATCCAGGTCTTAATAATTCATGATAATAAGGATTAGGTGGGTGAGTGAAATCAAATCAAATCACAGATGGCTCTCAAACATCATTTTAGTTTTGGGTGAAGCTTCTGTTTTCACAGTCAAAATCTCTAACCAAGCTGTTAGTTGGTTACAAAATTATCAGGTTTGAATTATGTCCTTTAAAAAAAAAAGTGAAATTCTTAATAAAACTGAAAAGGGTCAAAAGGCAGGAAGAAGTAACTTTATAATGGATAATTTATAAACTGGACAGTCATCCCTGGATAATGATGGCTGGTGGCTAAGCATCTTTTGAAGAACTCAGATACACCTATCTGACCATTTTGATCTTTAAATATGAGTATATTGAGCTCATAGGTATCTTGGGCCATCATCTAAATACAGTAACAAGTCAAATTGTCATCACAGACCACTATTTGAACAGGAGTTTTTATTGGATACTCTCTGAATTTTGTTACTGAAGAAATTATCTCTTAGAGTAAAAAGTCAAATTACAAATATAAGGATCAAAATGAAAAGTTGGATTGATCATGGCTGTTTTGGGAAGGACTAATGTCCAACTTCTCCCTTTGTGCCATTTAAGTTGGACTCTTTATTTTAAACATTGATTTTTTGTTTTAGGTTGAACAAATCCTGACAGAATTTAAGCTCAGAGCCCTGGAATGTCACCCTGACAAGCATCCTGAAAACTCCAAAGCTGGTAGGTATTTCATAGCTATTTCTCATGAAAATGAATAGAATATAGAACTAAAAAAACCACTGAGTAGTAACTTAATTTTATTTTGTCTATTATGCTCAAACTTACTATTTCATTCAATGCCATAGAATGTTTTTGCATTTTTGGATGGTAGGAGGGGAAGGAAACATGTAGGATCTTTTGTCTAATAGTACCCACTTAATATCCGAATTTCTCTCTGCTATAATGTGCTGCTTCATGGTTTAAAATTTGCCCAGTTCATGCTTTATTTCACCAGTGCTGGAGTGTAACTTAAGTATGTTTGTAACCAGGTGCTTGTTATGATGAGAACCTGGCCGTGTTTTCTTCATTTTAGGGACCTGAATATGTCTGTATATGAATATATATATATATATATATATATATATATATATATATACACACACACACACACATATATATATATGATAATATATTTATACTTTTGTTTCTTATTTATCATAATTTAAATTTTATTATCATAAATTTAGTCATAAATGCTTATGTATATCTCATCCTGAAAAAATACAAACCACTAATCCTTCCTTAACCTGTCTCCCTCCTGTTCCTCCCTATTTTTATTCTTCCTTTTAGAGCCAAACTTCCTGAAAAAGGAATTTGATATCTCTACTTTCCTTACACCCAGTTTTCAGTTTATCCCAGGCTGACTTCCTCCTCACCTTTCTTGGGAACTGCTGTTGTAATAGGCGCCAAATCCAGTGATTGCTTTTTCGTCTTTATCTTCCCTGAGCTTGCATCAGAATTTGGCTCTGTTGACCGTGCCCTCTTTCTTGAAACACTCTTTTCTCTTAGGTACCAGGCTATGCACTCACTCAACCTTTTCCTTCAACCTCTTAAGCTGTTGTGTCTCCTTTGTGAGTCTTCTCTGCTTTCCTAAGATTTCCTCCTAAACTCTTCTGGGCTTACTCTCCACTTTTTTTCTCGAGTCTTGTCCAAGCCCGTGGCTTCAATCATCAGCTCTTTGTTGATGGTTCCCAAATCTACCCTTAACTCAGTTCTCACTCCTCATCTTTAGATTATCATTTCAACTGCTTCTTAGAAATCTCTATTTGGGGACATTTCAAAGTCTTCCTGTCAAAAACTGGACCGACTCATTATTCTCCTGTCACCCTCTCTAAAATAGTACTCATTTTTTTTTTTAATAGAGGGCAGTGTCACTGGCCCTCCTATGTGGGATCCGAACCGGGGCCCTCTGGCATCCCAAGCCAGCTCCCAACCAACGCGCCACTCGGCCGGCCCCAATAGCACTCATTTTTTAAAGTTTCCCCATCTCAATAAATGGCACCACTGTCCATTGGGTTGGCCAAGTAAAACCTTTGCCTCCTTTCTTTCCTGCATGTCTGCATCTGGTCAGTTACCAAATGCTGGTGGTTTCCCTTCCACATCTTGCTCCTGTATGCTCTTCCCTCCATCCTCACAGCCACTACAGCAGGTGAGTCACCATGATTTCATGCCTGGATCCCAACAGTACTCCTTTTTACAGTGAAACATTTTCATATTTAGAATTAACTAGTTGGATTCAATTTAGATGATCCCAGTTTTGTAGGCTACAATGAATATGTGCTCTCCTTCTACTAAAGTATTTTAAAAATTCTGAAACATTATGGATGCTCAGAAAAGCGCCCGCTACTAATATCCTGTTTAAAGTCAGCACCCTGTCCCATTTTTGGATCTCTGTCATCATTGATTAGTTTTGCCTGTTTTTGAATTTCATATAAATAGATTCATACACTATGCACTATTTTGTGTGTAGCTTCTTTTGCTTTATATTATGTCTGTGATATTTACACGTACAATATATTGTACGTGTAGCAATAGTTCATTTTTTGTCATTGCTGAGCCTTTAGGTACAAACCCCCTCATGTTGTGCCCCCCCAACCCTATCTCTCCATTTTCAATTTTCTCTCACCCCACACCTACAACTCCATGTTTTAACCACGTAGAACTACTTTGGTTCCATAACGTGTCCTGGTTTCTACTTTGCAGACCTTACTGCCTGCTGCTTCCTCTGCCTGGAACACCCCCAAGGTCTGCACACCTCCCTGTCCTGCTTTGATTGGCTAGGTCATGCTCCTGCGTCAGGCCTCAGCTTAGCCATCACTCCCTCAGGAAGTCATGTGTGTCCCAGCTACCCAGAGCAGCCTATATGTCAGGCAGTAAACTGTGTCACACCATCTCCTTGTTGCCTGTTTGCTATGAGTCATATTGGAAGCTCAGTGAGGCAGGCCTTCTGCTTATCTTGTTCACAGTGGCACGCCTTGTATCTAGCACAGCACCTGCCATGGAGGACTCCGACTATCGCATGAGTGAGTGAATGAATGAATTCATGAACATTTCTTTAGGAGACATATTAATTACTTCTCTGAACTGGAGTTAATGTTAAGATGGATGTCCTAACATAAAAGTATAAAAATTTGATAAATGCTTAAAAACAACTACCAGCCCCAGGTTATTCTTTATCTGGGTTCTTTTTCAGTGAAGCATGGCTTTTAGTTGTTTTTCTGTCCCTGACAAACAATTTATATTTGGGATACATGATGAATCACTGTACAATCAGTGCCATTTCTAGTTGCTATAGTGATGGGAGTTTTTGTGTACAGGCTACCTCAAGGCTTCTTGTTCAGAGAAACAGGACTGTGTAAATATTGTTTAAAATGAAAAGGTACACAGATATCAATATCTTTCCTTGTCAGGCTTGCAGTAATAGATGATGCAGCCTTTGGGTAGAAATTGTTTTCAAATTTCAATAATAAGACTTTCTAAAAATTTAATTGGTTCTTTATACACTTGGAGAAGGAGTAAGGTTACTGATAAAAAACCAAAATTTTTAAATGTTAAACAAAAATTCACCCAGATGCTGAATTTTGGCTTGACAGAAATCCAGAATACATGGACAGACTTTGAAATGTATTGGGTTGTCGGAAAAATCATGACATATTTTTTCTATGTTTTTCATTGCAAAAATGCGTCATGACTTTTCTGACAACCCAATATTTCATTAAGGTGAAAGGCTACCCTGTAAAGCAACAGCAGGTAGGAGAAATTATATTTGTAAATATACCCTTTTGGCCCACTAAATGTAGTCACAGCCATTGCCATTGAAATAACTGATTCGTTAGCATGATGTAGTAGTAGATATGAACAGAGGCTTGTGTGTGTGGAATGCTCCTAGCTCCCACTTGAGAGCTAATTGACCTTGGTCAACCTCCCTGAGCCCACCATTCTCACAGGTAAAGTGGGTAGATATTACTTCATGCATCTGCATGCAGGAGGCACTCAATGAATGTTGGCAATTATGAATTAGTGGAGTTCTTTTCTTGTTTTTGTGCCACATTCCAAGACAAAAAATTAACAAAATAAGATAGTTTTCTTTTTTGTAAGTTTTCATTAGATATTTTTTGCTTTCATTAAAATAAATGCTAAATCTAAGGCTTTTTGAAATGTCTTCTCTTGTCCAGGTGTGGGTGATGGAGGCAGGACTAGTCGGTTGTACTATAGAAACTGTGTCACTGAGCTCAAAAGATCCTGGCTGGTGCTCGTGCCAGTTCTGTGTGTACACATAACAATAACCGTTTCAGGTCAATGTTTTATTATTTCAGGTCAATAGTATTTATTGACCCTGAAGAAAAGGGTCAAAGGTTTTGTTGAAAGGGTATTTTTGTTATTGATTTGAAGACTTCAAAGACATTTGAATATTTGAAGAAGGGGACTCTGTCCCTTGCTGCTATCTTTCAATGTCTCAATGTTTTCCTACTTCAAAAACTATTGCTTTTTGCCAGTCAAGATAGCAGAGTAGGTAAATTCAGTGCTTGCCTACCCTCATGACCATATCAAAATTATAACTAAATTACAGAACAACCATCACTGAGAATCGCCTTAAGTCTAGCTGAACCAAAGCCCTACAACTAAAGACATACAGAAGCCACCTCAAGACTGGTAGGAGGGGCGGAGATACGGAAGGGCTTGTCCGATGCCTGCATGTGACCATTAAAAATTGGGAGCGATATCTCAGCTCTGGAGGTCCCTCCTGAGGAGCGAGAAGTCCCAGCCCCACACTAGGCCCCAGCCCAGGGTTCCAGTGCCAGGAAGAGAAGTCCCCACAACTGGCTGTGAAAACCAGTGGAGATTGTGGCTGGGTGAGACAGAGGCACTGGAGTCCCAGGTGCTTCACTTAAAGCAATCATGCACAGACTTACTCGCTGAGGGACTCACTCACTCTGAGCTCCAGCACTGGGGAAGCAGCTCAAAAGACACCAGGGACATATGGGAAGGAATTGAGATTTTTGGCGTTAGGGCAAGGACTAGAGAGGAACCTTTCTCCCGGACAGAGAAACTGGAGGAAGCCATTGTTTCTTTGTTGAGCCCTCCCCACTCCCAGCACGCAGACACAGGTGGCTGCCATATCTGAGTCTCTATCAACCTGGTTAGCACTGTTTATTCACAATGCCCTGGTGATCCTGAGACCCCGCGCCACCAAACGTTCGGGCACACCTAAGCTGCTTCCAGTGACTTTTCCATACATATGGCCTGCCTTGGCTCATGCTACAGACTTTCCTAAAATCTCTCAAAGGTTCACAAAACCCAGACAAGCTCATCTGGCTTCGGCATGTCCCATACCTGTTGCTGAGCAGCCCTAAGCTTAGTTGGCCTCAGTTCATGGCTTGGCCTTTTGAAGTACCTTCAAGCTCAGCGTGGGTGGCAGCCATCTGTGGATTGCTTTGTGGCTCATGCCAGGTAGCCCAGGACAGGGCACAGGCTGCGGTTGAATTTGGCCTGCAGTGGGGTCCCTCCTCGGAGTACCGGGGTTGGCACTCATGGTGGCCAGCTTTGGACCCAGACAGAGCATCATGTGGCTATCTTCTTCTTTTCTTTTTTTTTTTAGCTGAGCCATCCTGCCACCTGTTGGCAACTCAGCAGCAGCTCAGCTCAGGCTGGGAATCCACCCAGCAACTCTGTTGCTCAGA